TCGCCAGATCATGGAAAAACGCGATTGTCCCAAATTTGAAGTTCTCGCTTGGAGACTTGTCGGGCCCGGCGACACCACTTAGGATGATCCGATCCGGCTGAAATGTTTTGTATGTTATTTCACACCAAAAGACAACTTTACGGGAGGGGGTCAAACATCTGATTTTCGAAAAGTCTAAATATAGGAACCACCCTAAATTGGCTGCTGTATGTAGGTATAATGCTTTTTAAGTGGGATTACAGTACGTTTATTGCTGTAACTCAGGAACCGCTTGGCGGCCCACAATGAAACTTTGGGAAATGCTTAAAGATTATGTAGAGGTTACCTTAAAAGGAAATCAAAATTTTAAAAAATGCCCTTTTAGAAAAATTCAAAATTTTCCAAAAAATGTCCGAAAATTTTTTTTCACATATTTATGGGCCGTTGAAAAGCAACAGCCTTTCAAAGTTTTATTGGTCATAAAACACTCATTTTTGCAAACTTTGAAATTCCATATAATATTAGCGGAGCAACCAAATGACCTAAAATTTGGGGAATATTTTTTTTTTCAGTAGGAACTTACAGCACACCAAGTTTGAACATGATCCGAGAGGTCAAGGTTCAAAACCTCGTTGAGTAGACATGGAATGACCCGTATATGAATTCTCCCATTAAATAAAATCGGCCTTAACAGAAAAAATGTAATACTTACTCATTGGAATTGGAAAGTAAGGGAATCTTAGCCTAAGTCGGCACCAAGAAATCCAAAATTGTCCCATCCGTGTCCAAAATACTAATCCCTAAAGGAGGGGGACAGAGCCCTCTTCAAAAAAATGTAAGTTTGCTAAAGTCAGAGAGAGACTCGGAAAAAAGATGTTTTCATCGATCACTAGGAATCCGAATTTGGGGGTTCCGTTGTCCCCAGAGGTTTCTCTGCTGGGGTAAAGAGGGAACCCCACACTAGTTAAATCTTTGAGTTCAGGATTCTCTGCACCCCATCAGAGAAGCCTCTGGAACGAGGGGACCTTCAAATCGGATTTCTTGGGGTCGATTACTCATGAAAAATCTTTGTTCCGAGCCTCTACGTGACACTACCGAACTTGTATTTATTTAAGGAAAGCTCTGTCCCTCACCAATAGGGGTCAGTAATTTGGACACGGATGGGGAAATTTTGGATTTCTTGGGGTCAATTTTCGTTAAAAGGACCCCAAACTCTCCTGATGGAAAAGCATGCACTGTTCGATTTTCAATTTGTGTATTGCATTAAACTCGTTTCAAGATGCTGATCAATAGCCATCATTGGGCCAACTTTCTAGGAAGCACCGTTTTTGCACAATCTGAAGTTGAAGTTTTGATAATTTGCCGATAAAGAGTCAAAAAGATCCCTCTTTCTTCGGGCATTGAAGAACAGGCTTGCTGAGAATAAGGAAAATTCCAGAGCGTTCAGGCACACGAGCAACAGTCTTCTCTCGGATTCCGCACGCCTATTCGCTTGACCATTCAAATCAGTTTCTCTCCCCCCCCCTCTTCCTTAACTCTCACCAGCTGAATTTTTCCTTATTTCATTCAGATAGTCTTTGAGTCTTGAAAGAGAGAAGAGTCTTATTGACGCTTCATCACCGCCCTGCCTCCTCTTATTCAAGGAATTATTGAAATTTCAACAGCAGATCATGCGAAAACCATAACATTTGATCAGCATCTTAAGCGTTTAGTGCAATGAAATAATTGGAAAATGAACAGGGCACACTTTTTCATGAGGAGTGTGTGGGGTCTTCTTTCTTGGGGGGTGTTTAAATAATTTCGAAGTGTCGCCATAAACCCTGACTTTCTAAGTGAGGACCCCTCTTTAACTTCCCAAAGAAGGCTGGAGGGGGGCTTCGAGACAATTGAATTTGGATTACTTGGGGTCAAATCCCTGTTCGTCCTTGCGGTACTGGACTTCCTTCTACCTAAAATAAGTGAGAAAAAGGCCTGGTACAGAAGGTCTGGGCCACTCTGTACATGCACTACTTTTCATTTTGAAGGTTAATGAAGATTTATATCCGAGAGGGATAGTAGAGGTAATAGTTTTTTTTTCTTTGATGGTGAAAAATCAAAAGGTGTCAAATCTGCTATCAGACACTCTTATTTCCCGGAAGGCTTTCCCATAATATTTGCACAGCAGGTCCATTTTTGGAACAGAGAATTAGAGAATTAAAAACTTGACTTAAAAATTTCAGTTTTAGAGGGCTGCACTTACAAGGGGAGTCTACGAAGTGACATCCTGGGATTGGGTTCATTTTGCTTGTACATGAAGAAGAGACAAATCTAAGGTTGACGTATTTTTTTGTAGCCGCCACCTCCCAACCGTTCTCGAGATATCGATTTTTAAAGTTACGATTTTTGCACGTTTCCGCGCGGAGTTCCGGCGAGTCAACAGAGCGCCGGCAAGCTGCACGAAGCGCGTTTCTTATCAGCGCTGCAGACCGGCCGATGTTATCAACTGTTCCGTGGCCGAGTGGTAGAGTGTTCGCCTACCGTTCCATCGATCGCGGGTTCGAGTCCCACTTCGTATCGTAGCTTTTGGGGTCCGCCGCAATGCGTTTTTACAAGTTTCCTTTATTTTTATCACCCACCAAGGGGTCCGCCCCCTGGCCGCTACGCGGCACAACCCTCGGGGCGAAAAGGCCCACATCGCGGCAAGCGAAATCATAGAAATCAACCGTTGACGGTTACTGGGTAAATAATTTGAATTGAACGATAAAATGATGTTTCAAATAAAAATTTCCCACCACACAATACTCTTAATGACTTTTTCCTTACTCTGAATTTGCAACCGGCAACGGTCGATTTCGATGATTTCGCTTGCCGCGAAGCGGGCCTTTTCGCCCCGGGGTTTGTGCCGCGTAGCGGCCAGGGGGCGGACCCCTTGGTGTGTGATAAAAATAAAGGAAACTTGTAAAAATGCATTGCGGCGGACCCCAAAAGCTATGGTACGAAGCGGGACTCGAACCCGCGATCGATGGAACGGTAGGCGAACACTCTACCACTCGGCCACGGAGCAGTTGATAACGTCGGCCGGTCTGCAGCGCTGATAAGAAACGGGCTTCGTGCAGCTTGCCGGCGCTCAGTTGACTCGCCGGAACTCCGCGCGGAAACGTGCAAAAATCGTAACTTTAAAAATCGATATCTCGAGAACGGTTGGGAGGTGGCGGCTAAAAAAAAAATACGTCAACCTTAGATTTGTCTCTTCTTCATGTACAAGCAAAATGAACCCAATCCCAGGATGTCACTTCATAGACTCCCCTTGTTAGTAAAGCCGCACTGGGCCTGAAGCACACAACTTTCCTACACCTACCAAGAGAGAACAGGAGTTGTGTTGGATTGAGCTATCATCTTGCAGTGGCAGAAAATCTCTTAGTGATAGAATGGTGGGGAAAGGTCCTAACAATTAATGGAATATGCCTGTATCGCCACTGAAAGAGTCTGTTCCTAGAAGAAAGTGACAAAAAAGAAGAGGAAAAACGGAGGTAGGAGTAGCAGAAAGGCTATTTTATCTGTATGGGTGTTGAGGCCAAGGCCTGATTAGGAGTGGTGTAAAAGGAGCGCCTGCATCAGGCACCATCACAGACAGGGAGCTGGGCCCAATCGATACAGAGGGCGGAGGGCGATTCAAAATGATCCCTTGTTTTGCCATGATTCTTTTGTTAAATTCAACGTAGCAGACTTGCATAATCTTCATGCAGCATCTAACATTCTTTGAATGCCAATTGTTTCTTACTTAATAGTCTTTTAAATGTTTGTAAGACTTGAAAATACTATCCGCTGCTAACATTTTACTTTGATGGAACTTAAAAGCCCATTTGGCTTTTTAGTTCTTGTCTTGAAAAAGATGTACAATTGAGGCGCTGGATGCGAAAAGGGCACTTCTCGGTTGCAGTGTTTCAGAGTCTCCTCTGATATTTCATTCATTGTAAGGAAAGTGAATGCATCCATTTCACTAAAAATTTTACTGAATATTCCTTATGATTTTACAATTCTCTGTGGAAAGAATTCTGGAAAAATCATGCATTAGATCCTCCTTCAAGGGATTAATTAGCAGCGGAGAATCTGAAACACCACAATCGAGAGGTGCCCTTTTCGCATCCAGTGTCTCAATATTTCCAGGGGTTACATGAACATGACCCCTAAAAATCACTATAACTCAGTGTATTTTTGACCAAAAGAGCTCCACAATGTTGAGTTGGAAAACTATTAAAATGATCTCAAAGCTGATGCAACCCGCGTTTTGCTTTCTTTAATAGTTCTTTTACACGAGGGTTGGTGGCAAGACTTAAGGCCTCTTACAGTTCTCAGCTCTCGCCAAATGAGTTTAAGTCAGAGGCAGCACTGATCACAATCGTCGGATCAAGCTGAAATTTTCGGGTAGCTCGTGTCACATTAGAGTAAACTGTTTTCACAGGTGAGATGGTCAGATTTCTGAAAGTTGGAAATACAATAAACTCTTTAAAAGGGTTGAACAAAAAGCCTAATGCCTGTTCAATTACAGGGAGACAAAATATTTTCAAGATTCATGCTGAGATGGTGGCACTTCAAACCATCCTATGACAACTATAATCATTTCATATATTTTTGCTCAAAACTCAATTAATAGAAAAATTGGATAACAATCACCTCTGATGAAAATAGTTAAAATATGACAACTGAAAACTCATATAATCCAATTTTACAAACAAGGGTAAATGCATACATTTTATGTACAAGCTGATTAAGTTATCTTTAGTATACATACTTCCTCTCAAGGGAAGTAGGATAAGTGAGTCTAACTACAGGGATAATGAAACACTGCATTACCAAGAGGAGTTTCAGGACTTCTTGGCCACCCCATGGGCTTTCTTTCCATCATCATTTTTTCCGGCCTAGACGCATGACTTAAAAGTCATTCAAGTATGACAGCAGCACATAATAGGCAGTTCATGTCCTTAAAAAGGATTGGAGAGTTTTTTTAGACAAAAAAAAAGGAAGAAAATTTGCGATCTTACCAATTATTGAGATTACCATTACATTTGAGCCATGGTTTTATTTTTTCAGGAAAGCTATTAATACTATTATCACTGCATAACATTGCCTTAGAAACACTCCGGGAACGATTTTTGGAAAAATTTGTTTGATTTAGGCTCCATAAGCGAATGCTGGAGTCTGCACAACCTGCTGCCAACAAATTGACTGAATTTGAAACTTTGGCGCGGTAAATTAATCTGAAAACATTAGAGAAGAAAAACACATGAAATTAAAACTGTTTAGGAGTGCACAAAAAGCAATCCTTCATGACTAACATGGAATCACAGGATCAGCTTCCAGAACCAACTCTCACTTTTAGGGTCTAAAAGACAATAAAACTTACATACTGACTGAATATTAACCAATATAGTATGCACTAATCAAAGGGAAAAGGAGGCGCGGACTGAAATTGGAGAAATTATTTGATCCCTAAATTAAAGGAGACTGACATTCAGTGGTAGATGTTTTTTGAAGATGTGAAAAGTTACACATTTTTTCCTGAGATTGGCGAAGTTCCAGATTTATAAAGACAGCTTTGAAGTTTGGTAGGAGGAAACATGCCCCAAGGATTTGAAAATAGCTTAATTTTATAAAGTTTCTTACTTCCATGCTTTTGGAGGAGACTCAAGAACATGCTCCAGTAGTCTGACTGTTTAACCCTGGGGCAACTGACTCAATGAGTACCTCATAACATACAAGATGAAACATGAAACACCAGGGTGCGGCTAATTTTCGTCATGTCGGAAAATTGACAAGGTCCGGGTGGCAATCGGTGCTATCTATGGAAATAATAGGCTGTATTAAATTTGAGCCAATTTGAAGCTTTTTTAGCTGATGCTCAAAGGGATCAAAACTACGGGGCAAAATGACATTGGTTTAAATGGGCAGAGAAACGCCTGATCTGCGAAAATACGCTTTTTGGATCTAAATTGCGCTCAAATGAAGAAAACCTAACCAGCTCTCAGAGAGGCATCTAGGAGCCCATTTGAAACGAGAGAATCACACTTTTGACCCATGGGTGTGGGTAGGAGGATCACTCAAGTGCAAGATAAAATATATACACCAATTTCGTTCCAGGCTCGAGAAATAGTATGGAAGGCAACATTGTAAAGGGCCAAGTGTAGCTCTCAAGGGCTAAAACAACCATTATACATTAAATTCTCATCAAGCTGTGGGATACATTTGCCTCTTTTACTTCGGAACACTTATTTTGAGTTCGATCAGAATGTCTTAAAAGCGATCACTTAGCTGCGGGCGCAGCGAGTCAAAACCGGCTACGCCGTGACCCCCCTGTCCCCAATCATGGATCAAAAGTGTGATTTTCTCGTTTCGAATGGGCCCCTAGATGCCTCTCTGAGAGGTGGTCAGATTTTCTTCATTGGAGCGCATTTTAGATCCAAAAAGCGTATTTTCGCAGATCAGACGTTTTTCCGCCCATTTAAACCAATGTAATTTTGCCCCGTAGTTTTGATCCCTTTGAGCATCCGCTAAAAAAGCTTCAAATTGGCTCAAATTTAATACAGCCTATTATTTCCATAGATAGCACCGATTGCCACCCGGACCTCGTCGATTTTCCGACATGACGAAAATAAGCCGCACCCTAATGAAACACATACGAACATGGTACGTATGGGGGACTGTTCAGTCTCAGGTTTGGCAATCCTGCAGACCCTAGCTGGTAGTCCCTGTCTTAAAGGGAATGGGCAGACGGGGCTCTGAGCTAAAGTGAAAGCAACCTGTCTAGGAGAAATTACTTTGAAATCAAATTCTGGCCCACCAGGTTGTGGGTTAGGGTATCGAGTTAACTCCTCGTTCCCCATAAAAAAGTAAATATTAAAAAATCCAACAGTTGCTGTTTTGATGCCCAGCAGAAAAATCGGAGTAATCGACACAAATTACACAAACCAATGCTGGAATTCGGGATGTGGAATGTCCGCGGCATTTACAATAAACAAGTAGAGGTTGTATCAGGATTAAGAAACAAGGGAGTGGATTTAACCGTTTTGACTGAGACCAAAAAGAAGGGACAAGGATTGGAAAGAATATGACTTGTTCAACAGAGGGGTGAATAAAGATTAGTGGGCTCACCAGGGAGTGGCGATTCTGGTTCGCAAAAGATTGAAGAAATGTATAGCTGGAAAGCCATTGATCAGCGAATAATACGTATGAGCCTTAATTTACATGGCCACAAGATAACTGTGCTTGGCGTATACGGTGTTAACGATGATGCATCTGTCGGCGCTAAAGATCAGTTTTTTGAACAGCTGAACAATGAAATATTGAAGATTGGAGACATGAGGGAGGTTATTGCCATAGGTGATTTAAACGGTAGGACTGGACATCGGTGAAGTTCCAAAAAGGTTGGACCTTTTGGAAAAGAGAGACCGTTGAATGACGGGAACCATACCATTGATCTTTACGACAAAAATGAGTTGAGAATTCTTAATGGGTTCTTCCAGCATCGTGACATACATAAGTTCACCTAGGTCCAACCAACACAGGGGCTAAGATCGATTATCGATTATGCAATAACAAGGCAAACAACAAGTATGAAGGTGCAACAAGTCAAAGTATGCCGAGGAGTTCCTTGTAGTAGTGTCAATTACTTCTTGAAGGTTGAAATAGCTTTCCCTGTCAAATATGATCATGGTGAACCTAATCTACAGCAATGGAAGCAGGAGGTTGTGGTTCGGCAAGTCAAGTATAACATTGATAGCCTGCAGCAGGAGAGTGTCAAGGGTTTGTATCGGAAACAGTTGGATGAGAAGTTCAGGGAGTTTCAGGGAGAGAGTACAGCAAATGAAGAACCAGGGGATAATGACTCTTTGCATGTTACGTATGAGGATGTCAAGAAGGCCATCAAGGGTTGAGGAATCGCAAGACGCTCGAACCGGGAGGAATACCAGCGGAGTTAATAAAGTGTGGAACAAGCATTAGCTTGTTAAAGCAAGCTCATTATAAGTTGCAATTTTAGAGGACCAGGAATAATGCGAACAAATGTAAAAAATACGAAGCGACGCGGGTGTGGGTGTTAACGCTTCTAGCGCCGTTGCCAGAACCCCCATGTCAAGGAAGGATCACATTCAGAATGAAAGGGCACGGGAAATCATGGCCGACAAAAACAACAAAGTTCATGACATTTTCACGAAACCTAGTCTGGTACAGGCATGTGCAACGAATGCTAGATGATATGTTGCCTAAAGGGGTTCTGGATTGGATCCCCCCTGGTAGAAAACATAAAGGGCGCCCTGCCAAATCGTGGACCGAGGGAATAACGCAGGAAATGAGGAGATGTGATCTGCCGGAGGAGCTCTGGCAGGATCGCTATCAGAGGAGGTTGGGTGTCAAAGAGTGCACAGAGGCACTATAAGAATGATTTGTTAGTAGTAGTAACATGAAACACTATTTTAAAATAGAGTCCCTACATACCCAGAGTTACGACAACTCACTTTTGGTTGGGCTGAAAGTGGCCAAAAAAAAAAATCCAATTCTCATTGGTTCTCGCTCATGGAGTCACAAATGAGTGCACCAAGATGACGGTGACTCGAATGTGAACAAAAATAATGAAAATATTACTTAATTGTGGTTTATCAAGAGTAAATTGTTATTTCCATCGGTCCAAAATGAAAATAGATGAAGAAATTATTCACAAACCAATCTCATTTTCTTTTTAATTGATCAATTCGTTGATGTTGTTGTTTTTGTATGACAGACATCGCAGGATTCCTGATCCTTAACCCTCAATATCGTTCGTTTGGGTGCACTCGTTTGTGTCTCCATGGCCAGCCAAAGCCGGCTGCCAGTCAGCTGATAATCGAGTTGTCTTAACTCTGGGTATAAAGGGACTCTGTTTTAAAACTTCTTATCAAGCATCTCAAGCCCATCAAATTTTTCAACCTAAATTGAACTGCTGAGTTTCTGCTGAATGAAATATTTAAGTAGGGAGTTGCTAAAACTTGTGAATAAATACTTACTCGTTTGCATTATTAATGGAGTATAACAGCATAGGTTGAGGAACAGGAGGCCCATCACTGAATGCTTTTATTGTGTCCAAAAGATCAGTCATTTCTTTATCTTCATTTGAAAATCCTGCCAAGTCCTAAAAATGATGAAAGGGAGATGAAATGAAATTTTTAACAGGGTTGGAACAGAATTTAGAAAATGAAGTTCCTTGATTTCCCTGACATGTTTTGGTGAAATCAACTGACAATAGCGCATATTTCAGATAGTTAAAGAGACATAATTTGAAATAGTTTTTAGCGAACTTTGTTGTTTGAGAAGTCAAACTCGTTCTAGACAGCAAACAGGTGATTTAACAATTTTTCCTTGACGTTTTCGTCATTTTCCCTGACATTTTCTGGTATCCCATGATTGTGGCGACCCTGTTTTAAGTCATACTCATTTTCTGAATAGTTAGGTAGGATTAGGTTTTTCCGGTAAATAACTCAATTGATGAAATGATTGATTACTAAAATTATGCTAACAGGGTCTTGTTTTGGAATTTAAGTATGTAATAGAGATAAAATTTGATATATATATATATATATATACATACATATATACATATATACTAAAAACACATCTGGGGAAAGAAGGCTTACACATTCAAAATTAAAACCGAGACGTTTCGTCCAAACTCTTGGACATTTAATTTTACTGTAGTGAGCACCAACTACAACAATCTTTCATTCCTTTGGTCCCCTTTAAAATCAAAAAGGCTTACCCAACAACTCTCTTGTGTCGTTTATCAAATAGATTGATTAAATTGCAATTCTATCTACATTGGCCAAACAAAACAGCAATCGTCCAAAAGACTTAATGACCACAAATATGATAAAAAAGAAGTAACGGCGCTTCATCAGCACGAAAATAACAACGGTCATTCTTTTGATTTTGAAAACACCAAAGTTTTAGGTAGTGAGTCCAATGACTACGCCAGAACCTTATTGGAAATGATATGCATTATAAAGAACAGCAATAGAACTTGTAACTATCGGGCTGATGTTGAAAAACTTAGTGTTGCCTACCATCAGTTTTTCCAGCCACACAAGTCCAACTAGTGTGTGTGAAGAGAGATCCCTCTAATTATCTCTTAGTCTGTTTACCGGCTCCGTGATTACATAATCACCAGTCAAAGCCTTGCTACTCCGGTCTGAGAGATGACTGTATTTTAACCTTTATTTTATCGATTGAAAATGTCCAAGAGTTTGGACGAAACATCTCGGTTTTAATTTTGAATGTGTAAGCCTTCTTTCCCCAGATGTGTTTTCAGTGTATTTATTTTGGGCTACGTTAGATTCACTTTTACTTATATATATATATATATATATAATGTCTTGTAAGAAAGTTCATGAATTTATGAAAACTTTTACACACATAGATAAAATTAGTTTCCAAGGAGGAGGCACTGGATATTTCTTCTTCACATTCAGGCCTGAGAACTTTGTCTGGAATTGTTTTGATATCAAACCACATCTGTATTACCTGAGGTGGAAAAATAATACAAAGGAAGTGTTACTACAATAACCCACTTAAAAGAAGTGAAATCAGCTTAAAATTTCGGTAAAACTAGTTAAGACTGGAAAATTAGTGTTTCCAAAGTCACCTGCAACATAGTAGACTAGCCAAGGCCAGCCTAGTTTCGACAAAGTTATCTTATGTATACGGCAGGCTGATTATTGACATTTATAGACAAAGTGATGGACAAGGAAGACAAATGGAACAATCTAATTGGTTGAAGCGGGTGGTTGTTACAGACTAGGGGGAAAATGATTGATTAACTATTATATCTCTCATGGATTACTTACATCCTGTGTCCATATCAACCACCCACTTCCACTAATATGATCGTTCAGAACCTTTATTTCAGAGACCCTCTGACAACAACAGGGCAACAGGGCACTTAACCATAATGTATATGAGGACTTGTCTGTAACAATAGCGGATGTAAAGTTTTCACATTGTGAGAAAATCGCGTTTGAAGTTTTTGAAGCTTTGCACTTTTCCGCCCGTAGAACGGAGAGGATTCTTGTAAAGATTTTCATGAAGAGCAACTCTTCCGGTAAAAAACACACGTTTTATGTCTATGTAAGTGAAAAATTGAAGGAGTAACAGTAATTTGAAAAAAATGTGACATCCGCTATTTTTACTGAAAACACTTTTTTATGCATGAGACAAAGTCTTCAGGAAGGGTAAAGCACTAGCCATACTGAGCCGTCCGTTCCGTCGCGGCTCGGTTTCATCCGTCTCCTGCCGTTTGACTTTGCTTTTCGTGGAAATGAATGAGCGGGCGCGTACTCACGCGTTCCGGCTCGATGCGGCGCCGTCTGGCTGCCGAGCCGTGCGCTGACGGATAGAGCAATCTTGCTTTTCGAGCAAGATCGGAGACGGAAGACGGATGCCGATCTCCAGTTTTGTTTTGATCGCTCATGCACTGCGCACGCTCTTTCACCGCGCTGTGTTGTGATTTAAATAAAGATAAATTTGTTTTCCTATTCTGTTTGTATTCTGTCTACGGTGTTCACTAATAATGGAGGACGAAGTTCTAATTGAGAAAGTGAGGGCTTTCCCTCACCTCTACGATCCGCAGGATGCGGCACATTTTGATCAGAAGAAAATCAAAAATTCATAGGAAGCCATCGGTAAAGCTCTAAGAGCATCAGGTGATTTGAATTTCATCATACTCCCATTCATACTATTTGAAAGACAATACGACAGTGTAAAATAAGTCCGCAACCATGTATCTCGTTTGCGATGTTTGAAAATCTCCGCTCTTATTTGATTTTTTTAAAGAAAAACAAATCGACATCATTCCTTGAAGTTTTCGCATAATTTTTTTTGCACAGAGGAGAAAAATCACGGCAGTTTTTAAGAATAGCCGTTGAGTCATCAACTTCAACTGCATCCTAGAGCTAGCCGGATCGCACCGGAGCAGTGTGCGCTAAGTTTCGTCCAGGAGCCGTACAGCTGACGGACGCCCGTCGACGGAGCCGCGACGGAACGGACGGCGACGGCTCAGTGTGGCTAGTGCTTAGGGCTGGTAAAACGATTTAAATGAACCAAAAGTAAGTCAATGCTGAGTCATTTAACAAAATTGAGCAAGAAACTAAACCGTTTGTAACTTTTACAACAAAAACAAGGAACAAATTCTAAAATCAGTTAAAAATTCAACAATTCTGGCGAGACGGTCCCGATACGTATAATTTGAGTATCAGCTACAGCCCATGGCCGGTGGGCAGGCAGTTATCGCAAGTGGGTTCGAATCTCCATAGTGTCTACCGCGCCGGCCGGAGAAAACAGTGGATTCTCACATCCGCTATTTTTACAAATAACAAGGTTTTCAGTTCATATCTCGCTGAAAAATTGCGCTGGAAGTCTGAAACTTTGCACAGGCTTTCTTGGAGGCTCTAGATTTCGAAAAAAGCGTTTGCCCTAAAAATGGCGGATGTCAGCGACCGCTTTTGTTACGTTTATGTCCTCATATGCCTTTGACCCACTGCGCAACGAACGATTTGTCCAGAAAGTTCTTGCCCGCTCCCCTCATGCCACTCACCACCCCAACTAAAACTTTCAAAGCTTGCAATTTTTGGATAGCTTGGTCGATTTTGCTCAAATGCAATATCAGTTTAGTACTAAGTAGGTAAGATCTTCCTCCTGTATAAATTCCAGAGGACAATCTAAAAATTTGTGCCAGCTATCGCGACCACAAAATTGGATCTCCTTCTAGTACCGGTCCCTAAGAATCAAAATCTAATACTTCCATCTCAGTTTTCTTTTTCTTTGTTGCAGAAATGATTTTACATTGCAAAAAGTTAAGTTTCACCCGGAAAACTTTTAAAGAGAGGGAAATATAACCCAGGAAAAATTTGAAAAAAGATGATGAGTCGGCAATACATGCATAAATACACACACGCGCACACCCACACACCCACCCACACACCCACACACACACACACACACACGCACCCTCACACACACACGCACACACACACACACACCCACACACAAACATATACACAGCTCCGTTGAAGGGGAAGTTACATGAAAAGTGAATGGTCATCTCCGATCTCTTCGGCATCTTCAAGTAGGGTAAAAATACTGTTTTTAGCCAAAAATCGAAATGTGCTGTTCGAGCTCCGTGAAAAATAAATTGACTTTTAAGTTTTTTCCGCCAGGGAGGGCGGAAAATTCCTTGATATGATTGCAGTGAAATTAAGTTTATAGGCGGCCAGTTGCTCCAAATAGCAAAAACTGTAGACTGCTAAAAAGCTAAAAGGAAGAGCTTTTTAAAGGTATAATCGGATTCTACTTTGCGATAAGATTTGTCCCTGAAAAAATGGAAACCTCTTCAATTTCCTGATTTTTTTGAGAAAAAACTTAAAAGTCGATTTATTTTTCGCGGAGCTCGAACAACACATTTCGATTTTTGGTTAAAAAAATAGTATTTTTACCCTATTTGAAGATGCCGAAGAGATCGGAGACGACCATTCACTTTTCATATAACTTCCCTTCAACAGAGCCGTAAATATATAAACATGAATTCGAACGACATGCATATTCATAATTTACAACCCATGATCGATGCTCATTACATGGTCTTTGATCTACGTCTCACATCAAGGGAGAACGCAAGTGTATTTCTTTCGGAAAATACATTAAAATTCCTGTGAGGTCAATGCATCCCCTACTTCCAAAAAGTGGATTGAAAAAAAAAAAAAAAAAAAATAGGTCCAAATTTTCCATTGTCAAAATGAAAGTCAGTAATGCAGGATTCATTGACACGAACTAAAGTGCCACTACTTTTATTCATGTTATAATAAGAATGGCAATGTGATTTAAATTCAAGGTTAAAGAATTCTCTGAGACATACAGAGTTTCTTATGAGTACAATCTTTAGACCGACTCCATACCTGTAAAAGAACCACATGGCCATGGTTTGTTAGGTATTTTCGCAAAATATTTAATGATTTAGGTGACAGTTTGATTTCATACTTGCAAGATCTGAAAAAAGAGTGAAAATAATAGATGAAAAATATTAACATTCACGAAAATCAAGCAACAGTAGCAATATAAGGTTTGCAACTTAGTTTGCTAGGCTAGAAATTCAATACTGGTGGGATAGCAACTCCTCATTTTGTAACATTCAGGAACGGGAATAAATGGTGGTCTGGTTTGCTATTTATTATCGTATCTGAAATCTGAACTCGGAGGAGTTAATTTTGAATCAGTGGAAGAGGTCAAACAAGCCGTCCACTCTTTCATCCGCGGTTAGCTGAAAGACTTCCACGCACGAGGCATCCAAAAGCTGTTCTCTTAGTCTTAGTCTCAGTATCAGACTTGCTTGGATCGAGCTGGTTATGTGGAGAAGTGAGGTAAGCCCCTAATTCTACAAACATTTCTTTGCTTTTTCGTCAGTGATGAACGACTAAGGCTTTGGCAGAGAAGCTCTTCTCCTGTAGCGGACTTCAAATCCTCGCGGATTCGGCGGGAGCGTCGAGCACCTCGGGACGTTCAAACGGCTCGCGTTCGGCCGCACATGGTCCGATTTTGTTGCGGTTTGTTTCGTTGAACTCAAAATATCCTAAGAAAGATTTTGAGCCCAAGTTTTTTAAAATTGGTCCATTTTAATGGATTTTAGAGAGGGGGGGATACTTACTTATTGAACGCCCCTCGTAAATTAGCAATTATATTTGTTAAGTTAGCAATTATTTGATTTTGGTGAGATAGCAAATGCTCATCACGCTTTTTTCAGTATAAAAGTAACAGAGTAACTAGTAACACACAAAGTCTGGGGCGCAAAGTGCTTTGAAGAGTTAGACCGTGAAGAAGTCGAGGAGTATAGCTTCCTTAGTTTCTAAAAATCTGGAGCGTACCACTCGCATTGTTTCAGTCTACATGCACAGGATGCTCTCCATAAGAGCGCATTTGCATTTTGCCCAAGAGTTCCGTTTCCTTACTCTCATTTTCATCTTCATATTATTCTGAAATTACTATTGGAATAAGTTCTCTCCCCCTTCAATAAATCCAAAATTCTAGCCTGGAAACTGAAACATGGGAATAACATAGGGGGGTATGACTCTCTTGCTCAAGACAGTGAAATAGCTCTCGGACACTGATTTTTTTAATCACCTCTCAAAACAGATACCTGACGAGTACCCAGAAAAGACAGCTCAAGGTTCTTCAGCTTAAAACATTTAAATTCTTACCTGAATGTGTTAATGACAGTACTATTATCAATATCTTGAATTGATGTTAACTCCTTTAAGGCTCCTAACAATTCTTCATTTTCTTTGAATGATTTCAAGACAGTCTCATGCTTCTTAAACATGCTTGAATTTGCATCAGTTGCTCCATTTCTTAGTGAATCAATATACAGATGGCATAATAAAGGAAACAGAAAAGCTGACAACTCTATCTTGCATTCAGGATCAGTTACCTCTGAAAGCCATGCTTGGAACCTAAAACGGAGAGATCAGACAGTTAGCATAAGGTAAGTGTAATTTTTTTTTTTTTTTTTTTTTTTTTTTTTTTTTTTTTTCAAAGCAGCAGTTAAATTGGGTTATAGCTACATAAAGCATAAGTTAAGTTAGCATGGTGGAGTAATGGTGCTGGGTCCACACCTTTTCGCGAGGAAATCAAAGCCGAGAAATTCCAAAAATTATGATTGAATCGATGTATGCAAAAACATCCGATGTCCATTTTCTTGGATTTTTACTTTTTTGGCTCAACGTCATCTTCGAGAGTAGGTGCATCTGTAAGTAGACGGATTTGACCTGTTTTTAAGATTTTCGTCCTCATTTAGGGGGTTGCACCTCAAAAAATATGTGAAAACGTCCGGTATCCGTTTATAGTCCAGTCATTTCGGGATTTTAATGCGGTTTTGAGAGCAGAACTTTCTTCCTCATCTAATTACTCATCTATAGCCGATCCTAAACGAGCGTCCAAATTTGCCCTTTTCGATAAATTATGGGAACCCCTCCGAGAACCTCCCCAAAATCGAAAAAACTGTCAAAATTATTTTCTCTCGTTGTTGTGCTACTATCGCACGCTTTGAGAGCGGAACTTTCTTTTCTCACCTGGGTTCTCATCTGTAGAGATTCCTAAACGAGAATCCAAATTTTTCTTCTCGACAAACTATGAGAACCCCTCCAACCCCCTCCCCCCGCCAAACCCAAAATCGAAAAAACGGTCAAAAATCGGTTATTTTCTTTAGTTTTTCGGCTATTATCGCAAAAACCGTTGCCTCCATGATCAGGTGCGTGGATCTTACTTAAAATTTGTTCAAATTGCGGTTATTTTTAACCCGGTCTGAAATTTTTCTGGTGAAAATTACGCTCACTGCAAGGTTCTCAAAAACCGGCAATATTTTCAAAATTTCGTTTTGTAATGGTTTTTTGCTTGTAACTGTAACTCAGCAATTCTTTAAGGTAAGTATATCCTTCCAAATAATAGTAAATTCAAAATTCTAAAATTTCATGCGTCAAGCTTGTCCTCAGAGCGTAACGAGACGGTACCCCGGCGTTGCCAAAGTTACCGTCTCAGAAGGCGTTTTCCGGAGCGGTGCAGTTCACGCAACCACTCCACTTTCTTGCTCAATAAAGTAACAAAAAACATCGTATCTACTACTCATATCCCTCTTTCCTACCCCATAGACGCCCTTTATCGACTATGCTTAGTTTATTTGCCATGAAATAAAGCGTGATGATAACGATACCCATGCACTCAAGGATTTGTCGGATCAGCATTTCGACGGTGTGAGTCGGCAATCACATAAGTTGATTTGCGACGACGCAGACTGCCTGTCATTCTTTATTTTTGAAATGAAAACTATTCAACGGCAATTCTTTAAAACTGCCGTGATTTTTCTTCTCTGTCAGAAGAAAATTCTGCAAAAACTTCAAGGAATAATGTCAATTTGTTCTCCTTTAAACAAACAGCGTAGAGGCGGAGATTTTCAGACACTGCAAACGAGATATGTGATTGCGGATTTATGCCGTCGATTTGCAATTTCCAAAGCTGGAGCACCTAATGAGCTTAGATTCTGGCAGAGAAGGTTATTGAAATATTGATTGTCATATGTAAAAAAAACCGAAAGTCTTCATTAAATGAAGCTTTATACGATGTTCACGCCCTATTCTGGTGAAATAAATGAAGAGACTCCGAAAAAACCATAGTTCTTGGTCGTTTCTACGGCTTATAGCCCTCTTTTCGTTAAAAAGTTGGTTGGAAATTTTTTTCGCCATAAGGATCCGTGTTATTTTGAAACTTGAAACATATTTATCTCCAAATAGAAAAAACTGCACTTATGTGCCTTGTCCACCAAGCTCCTCAAGTTTACTCAAAAGTTTTGCCATATGCTGGAAGGTTTAGCAATTTGTCAATGTACTCACAAGACTTTTCAAATCTAAGTATTCCATATTATTTCCAAAAGAGAAGTTTTCTCCATACCACTGAAATTCATTTCATGGCTGTCATTAAAAAGAAGAAAACTCCCTGAACCTTGAGGAAAACTTAGTAACGAACCAAAATCTAATTAAAATTTTTTTCAAAGAAGAAACTTCCGATCGCCTTGCATCTTTGAGGTGCATTAAACTAAGGTTTCGTCAACATGCAAGAGTTCTGCTCAGTTTTCAAACGTTTCATTTTTTATTACACACGATTTCCTCTCTTCACAACACCACCACCAAATCTTTCTGTGTTGCATAGTTTTGTTCTTTAACACATACACACATTTATTACAATACTATACCACAGTCGACTTGATTTTTTTCATGGTCAGATGAAAACAGAGCACCTGTAGAACCATTTTAATTACATAAAAACCCCAAATATTCATACTTTCAAAAACACTTTGAGAAAGAAACACAGAGATGCCAGCATACTTTCCTGAGACATGAACCAGAAATGTTCTGAATATTCCAATCAAAACATATTTACAACAGTACTTTTAGGGAAGTTCAATTTAAATCGATTTTTCTTCAAATTCTCACACTTTCTTTCGTTTGTACGATTCACTGGCTCAAGGGCGCAAAATTGAAGAATCTAGATTGAAACAGGGAATGAGCCAGAGAAAATTATAGTAGGGCGGATAAGGGGAAAAAGTTCCCAGAATCGTGCATTTCTGGAAGAAAGCATGAAACTTTCAGGATATCATCTTTACCTATAGAAGGTTCAATTTCACAAGTGAGCCCAAAATTCTGAGGCCATGGGGGCCGGGGGGGCAAGGGGCCCTGATTTCGCTATGTTTTGCCGAATTTTCGCGTTGGATCATCGTGAGAACGCCGTTAACAATGTAAAATGTAATCAAAACTTGTGTAAACGTCATCAGTAGGTTCTCTCAAACAGTATCCTAAAATGGTATCACTGTCCGATCCCGGAGCACCCCTCAAAATACCTAAAATTCAAAATGGCGCCCATAATAAGGCCTCCGGAGTATCGATATTTTCACTTGTGCATATCCTGTCATGTAAGGTATCATTTTCCATGTAATTTTGGTCGCAGATTTCATATTTGAAGTCAAAACAACCCCCCGGTCAAAATTGGTGCCCCCAATCCAAGATGGCGTCCAGATTTGAAAGGCAGGAGGGTGCATTTTTTAAACTTTTACGTGATAAGGCAAGTGATATGTCATTACCTATGTAATTTTGGTCGTACATTTCATTACTGAAGTCAAAAGAGTCCTCCGGTCAAAATTGGTGCCTCAAATCCAAGATGGTGGCCAAATTTTAAAAGCAGGAGGGTGCATTTTTTCAAAGTTTTACGTGATAAGGCAAGTGATATGTCATTCCCCATGTAATTTTGGTCGTACATTTCATTACTGAAGTCAAAAGAGTCCTCCGGTCAAAATTGGTGCCTCAAATCCAAGATGGTGGCCAAATTTTAAAGGCAGGAGGTTGCATTTTTTCAAATTTTTACATGATAAGGCAAGTGATATGTCGTTTCCTATGTAATTTTGGTCGTACATTTCATTATTGAAGTCAAAAAAGCCCCTCGGTCAAAATTGGTGCCCGAAGTCTAAGATGTCGGCCAAATTTGAAAGGCAGGAGTATGAATTTTTATGAGAAAAAAAATCACGTGAGATGACAAGTGAGGTATCAGTTTATACGCATTTTTAGTCAACAAAACGAATCTAAATGAAATGTAAAAATATTGTTTAAGTACACAAACATGAAACTAGATAATCAGGATGATTGCCATCATGGCTGACAAGTGAAAAATGATGAGCCACTAATAAGGAGGTGTTTTGCTGATTACTGCACAAAAACTCTGAACTCAATTTCAGATGCCCTAGACTCAGAGGATGAACAATTAATAAGTACCGAAAATAATTTAGAAAACTTTCAGTCGGATTCAGTTGGTGGGTCTCTACTCCATCGAGTGCGATCAAAGCATAGGCATACTTACGAATCCATTGCACAAACCTATGTTCCATCAAATTGATGAGCAGACACCAATGTTTCTTTGCGTTTTCAAAGTGATGTTAAACGCGCAAAATCCGAGATGATCGCTGTTCTTGCATGCGTTTATTGGTTGCGATTCAACCCCTCACATCCATAAAATAGGAATAGCAACTTTATTCTGTACGCTTTTATCTGATCCTTACCTGCAAGAATCTAAAGAAAGGTTCTTGGAACCTAATCAAAACCATGAACGGGTATAAAGAACTGGAAAAGAGTAAATCGATGGTGAAACTGCTTAAATACTATTTCGGTTTGCGGTGTTGCAGACTTCTTGTCATACTTCTGTTCCTTCATTGAAAAATACTGGAGTCATTTCTTGAAAACTTTGCTTGTTTTCACTCTCTATGTGAGGAATATTCTGTAAAAATTTCATGATGTTGGTTTGGTCCCCTTTCCAAAAATAAAATAGGAGCGAATATTTTGAAATCCTGCAACCAAGATACGCACGTTTGCTGTTTCACTGTCGAAATATTACTCCTCAATGGTAGCCAAAAAAAATGTGACTT